TAAATGGATGCATACTGAGGCCATACTCTTAAGTGAAATAAATAAGACACACATGTGTAAATACCGAATAGTTTCTCTAGTGTGAGAAACTGAGAGTGTAAATAAGGACTAAAAGGATTAATAATAAATGATACTTTGAAATTGGAAAAGTTCCAAAGGGGTAGGGGTGGTGGGAGGGGAAGGGGAAAGGAAAGAGGGGAAAGGAAAAATTATGAGAAAAGAAAAAAAAAAGGAAACGAAGTATGTAAATAGGGAAGGGTTTAAGGGTGAAGGGCGCACAGGTAATGGGGAAAAAATAAGAACCAAGATACATCACGTACAGGTACAAGCACCCAAAGATAAATGTAAATGTATACCTAAAATGTACCAATAAAAGAATTTAAGAAAAAATATGAGGTTAATTTTTTTTCTTTTACTCATATCCCATGTTATGTTTCTAAGAGTAAAAGAAATGATGGGTTTAAATCTTTTCGTATAGTATACTGTATCAGTTCTTGCCACAGGGCTTGTATGAACTTGAGACCCTAAGCCTCTAGGTGGCAGTGTTGCTCCACTGGGGAGTCTAGTACCACAGTTCCTCCCTGTGCTGTTACGCAGAGCCATTTCCAAGACTTTCAGACCAGAACCTTGATTAAATCTGAACTTTGAATTTCTGAGATTTTTATATTGACACGTTTGGTTACTGGTTTATTCTCCACCACAACTTCAAAGGAAACATGGTTACTACTGAAAGAAAATCTTTGAACAGTTAAATGTTATAAGTTTTGTAGCCATTTAAAGGAATGTTTTACAGTCACCTCTAGGTTTACTTCATCCACAGGAGTAATTAATTTTGACTACTAGAAAAGGTAATGAAAAGAAGTTGTAATGAACAATGATCCACTTAGAGTTCCATGGGGTAAAGTCTCTTAGCTAATAATTTGTACTGTACAAGCTATTGAACTTGGTCATTTAAGTGTCTTCTCAATAAAGAGAAGTTCATAGGGTAGCAGAAAGATGAGTAAAAACACAAAATTCTAAATACAGGTAAAAACATTCTCAAAGTTGGTCAAATTATTTGAAAAGAATCAATATAGATGAGTTTTACTATTCTTAATGGTGGTTTACTTCAAATAGACAAAAAAGACAAAAATGAGTGAAAACTCCATGCATTTTATAATGTTTGGATAAGTATAGCAACCTGTGCTTCACTTTGGAGGCTACTTGATTTCCTCTCCCTGGATGGGGAGAAACCTAGATAAAGGGGAATATTCACAGCAGCAGTTCAGTGGCATGTGGGGATGTGAAAACACTTTCCTAGAACTGAAGTCCATCAAGCCCTATATGTTACCCAAATAAAAAGTTGAGGCAGGTTTCAGTCTTGGAAGAGTGTGCTGCTGATAAACAGAACTTCTGAGACAGGGAGAAAATCTTAAAAAATTCACCAAATAAAAACAACACTTCAAGGGCCGGGGATTTAGCTCGGTAGTTCTGCCGCCTGCTGTGCAAGTGCAAGGTCCTGAGTTCAATCCCTGGTACCAAAAACAAAAACACCAGTTCCACTTTCTTCCCATTTTTAAGTCTTTTTTTGGGTAGCTGCAGATTTGTGCAGGTGACTTATCTTTAAGATCAGCATAGGTTACAATATTCTAAACTTCTTGAGAATGTTTTGAGATTAGGGTTCAGGAGCATTGGAACTTGCAGAAGAGTCGACAAATTCACAAAAGGGTATATGACAGGGAAGTTACAAGAGAGGCTGTATGTCACAGAGGTAAATACCCAAGTTTTGTAGTCAATCTCTGTTCAAATTCTGATGATGTTTCTTATAGTTTATAAATAAATTATGAAATTGCTTAGCTCAGTGCCTGGGATATAACATACAGGCTGACTCTCATTACTTTTCTTGTGATCCATATATGAAACTTGGCCACTGTGGAATATACTGATAATTTGAAAACTTCAGGACAAAAGCCTTGGAGTATGATTAATGACATGGTATTAAAAACATGTACATTCTACTTAAGAATAACCTGTTTGCAAAGAACGTTGAATTCTAAGAGGAATATTGAGATCTTGGTTAGATCTACTAAATAACTTAAAATAGTAATGCTTTGTAATAAATGACAAGATCTGTAACTGGATTTGAGCATATGTGCAATTTTTCTGTTCCAAGCACATGTAAGGAATAATCTCCATGTGCTCAGTTATCTCACTGCTTTGTGAAGAGTCCAAAACTGACATGGCTATTACTAGAAGTTCTTACCGCTGTTTTTTTTTGTTGTTTTTTTTTTAAGTGAAGGCTCATGGAAAGAGTTTTTGACTGAGATCTCTATAAGAGACCTGATTTCTTACTTCTTCTGGGTCACTAACTGGTCATTATTGCAAGCAAGTGACTTAATCTTTATTGGCCAATCTCTATATTGCAAATTGATTTCTAAAGGTTTTTTTTTTTTAAAAAGCACTCCACTTCAACATTCTAATAGGAGACTACAAGAATATTGTCAGGTTTCAAAAAATTGCTAGTAGATGTTCAATAAAACTAAGTCTTTACATGCCAGCCAAGTGTGGTGGAAAGGGCACTGGACTAGGACTCACCACAGGAATACAGTAAGTTGCACTGAATAAATTCTTCATTTGCAGCTGAGACACAGGATGTGAAAAACTGATCTGCTCTACCTCCTAACTAGAGCCTTTTCAAGATTCAAAGGTGATGCTGCATGTGGCAATACCTTACATTTAAATCACTCTGTAGGTTCAAGTTACTACTACTGGGCCTGCAATTTCATATTATGATTAAAAATTACTTCTAGGAATTCCTATTTTTAAACTTAAATTCATTAGAAAAAGAATCAATCCTTTTGATTCTGCTATAATTGTATCCGAATTTATTGACTTGCTCTTTTGTCCACAGATATAATTTTTTCTCCTCTGACATCTCATCATTTGTTTTATGGCTCCACTTCCAGTTTTCTTTTAACAAAAATGTACCTATTTACACAGTTTTCAGGTGCATTTATAAACTTTTATTGATCAAATGCTGGTGAGGCCTATAAAGAGATGACTAATTTATAGTAAATAACCAAAGAAACACTCACAGGAAGGTATTTTCCTACGGACTTAAATTTAACTGACCAAGGCAGAAGATTAATCCAATTAGCCATTCTAATCCTAATTAAAGGTGAATACTTGTTTGTTCAGATTAAGAAGAAAGAAATAAGTAAGCAAGAAATATGATCTTGTCTTGCCTATGCATGGGGAAAATACCTTTCCATATCTCACAGTATAACTGTACAGCCCTGAGGCAGAACTATTTGATTATTAGTATTATCTTAACATTAACACTATTAACTGCAACATTAGGCAGGAAAAACTGGTCTACTACAGCTTTTAAAACTGGGACTTTAGGAGGTTGTCTTGTTTGGATATTTCTAAAGAATGCAATCCCCTTTTTCTTCAAGCGTACTCTTTCATTTCTTTAGCTTTTCCTTTATTAAAAAAAGAAAAACCCAAGACTGGCTCTAAGTAGAAGAATGGACAAAATGTCAAGAAATATATTCCTACCAAATCTTGCCATGTGACATTCTGTATAGAACTCACTTTGTTCAGTGATTCTGATCCACTCCAGAGAATTTGGTAGGTTCAACACAGTTCCTTCTATCCACAAGGATTTTCCCAGCTTTTCTTAAATTTCCATTCCAAGCCCAACTGTATTTGTGAGGCATATATTTTGATAAAAAATTAAAATTTATTTTTTATAGTAAACTCAATATCAGTCACCTTCTCAGAGCCATTGCAGCTTTTTCTTCCCTGATGTCTGAAAGATAAAATTGGCTGCTTTTTAGTGGCTGCTTAATTTCCTTCTATATTATGTCAAGCTTTTTGAAATTCCAAGTAAATTATATTTGCTCTGGTAGGTTGCCTTTCCAGATCATTTTTAATGATTCACAGGGATTGGTTTTCCTCAAATGGGATTAGCAACCACCTTTATTTGATAAAGTTAAAATAGATGTTTCATTAGTTTCCTTGGAATTGAAAATAGGCCTAACTACTTTAAATGTCACAGAGTTCAGAAGTTTTAATCTTAAATTACACTGTCAATCTGAGAAACATGAAAAAGAAAGTTGTAGAAGTAAGCCAACGACGACTGCAACTGTAGATAA